ATTAAAAGTAGGAAACAGACCTAAACAAGCCAGAGTGCTTTCAAAAGCAGAGTAACACAAGCACCTAACTTTAAAAAAACGGCTCTGCGCATTGTAATTGCAAAGGAAACCATCTTATAATAAGACAGATGACATCTGGAGCAAAGGATCAGATCACTAAAGCATGGATTCAGAGCAAGTGAAAAATGAATAAGAAAAAATATTATAATCAAAGAAAAAGACTGTCAACAAAAGTAACACAATATCAGATGACAAATAAATTGTGATGGAAATCCCTCAGTGACATCCCCACTGCATCCTGAGAGAATTACAGCATTAGTAGAAGAGATCACAGAATATCAGGGAGCAATTTCCAGAGTGACACTAAAAAAACACGCAGTCTGATACTTTGAGAATAATTGTACATCTCAGTTTACAAGAAAAGATAAGCACTCTCAAGTTTAAAAAACTTTAAACTTTGGATGTGTTCTCAACTTTAAACCCACAAACTTTCAAGGGAACATCATCCCTGTATCAAGGCTTATGTGACATATGGTGTACACCTGGTGATAATTATCCACTTCAAATTAATCAATTCTTTGAAAGGAATGTAACCATGTAATAAAAAAGTAAATTCTTTTTAATGGTTCTTACAATAGGTTCCACACAAATGCAACTAATCTTACAGTAGTTCTACCTATGACTTCTTATTCAACAGCTGGGAAAAGAATTTCTGACTTCGCAATAAAATCCACAATTTGAAGGCAATGTTAAAATAGTGGTATGGAACTCCTTGGGCACAAGCTCTATTAGAGACATGCAGTTAAGGGTCAGAGACAGTTCTCATCCTATGTTAAGTGCTATAATCCCAATACAGCAAGATAGTTACATACTTAAAACTATTTAAAAACATCTATTTTATTTGTCAAAAGGTACTGTATTCCTTTCAGGCTGTATCAACATTGGGAAACACTGTGGTACAACAGGAGCAGATCTGTAAAACAAAATAGTTGGTGGTGATCCACTCCCTACACCATACACCTTTCGCGGGAGTTCACTTCAATGTAGATCTAAACTGGTTTTGTCATTTGAACTCCCATTAAAAGGTAGTGTGTATGAGACAGCTTTGGAATACACTACCTGTATTTCATACAAAAAGATGTCTGTTTGCACACTCTGAGATTGCTCTGTGATACGTACTGAACCATGGGAATGGGAATATCTGAAGGTTTGCTATCAAAGCATACCCCTAGTACAAACTAAAACACCAGTGCAGACACCATGAGCCGCTGTCCTCCTGGACTACTGCACATTCAGGCAGCATCCACAGAAGAAAGACAAGAAAAACACTACTTAGCTAGCTAGACATGAGCCTTCTAGTTGTGAAATGCACAATAAAAGTTATCTACACACTTCTATGCAGAAGGCTGAACATTTACAGTCTGCATGAAACAGTCAATCTTAACCAAGTGGAAACAGGTAATATGTAGCATCAGCTTCTAGAAAGAGAGGAAAGCTACAACAATTTATCTGGAAAAATAAAGACTTACTGGTCTTATATAAGCCAATTGATTTACTTTTGCCTGAAATCAGTCTGTCAAAAAAAAGTAGATCTCCCCCCCCCATGTCTGTCCTGACAGATGAGCCACTACAGAGAAAAGAATTCCAGTACTCAAGAACGGTTATTCAAGAATTCTCAGGGAGTTTTATGAGCTTCTTCTCAAAATTATCAGAAATTTTCAGCTCCAATTCTATAACATGATGCATAATTTGCTCTTACTCTGACGCAGTCATTAAGTACAAAGCTCTAACTGGAATAAAAGTGGTGAACACAGCTGTCCTTTAGATATATAGACTTTTGTCTTTACTGTGGACCTTGTCATCATTCAGCATATCACCTTTTGCAAAAAAGCGTTTAACAGAACCGAGAATTTTCTCACAGTGCTTTAACGTCAAACTGTAAATCTAAAGTAATCTCAGTAATCTTTAAATCTCAGTAATCTAAAGGGCCCTCTGCTGGCAGATGCTTTCCCAGCTGTTAAGATCCAGTTATTGTCAGGTCAGGCAGCCTGGGCACATCCACCTGTTTTGTCACAAAAGCACTTCCTTAGTATAAATCTCTTTCCTCCCACTAATTGATTTTTTTACCCCATCCCCTTCCCCTCTACCATAAAAGTAACAATCAAAACCAATAAATCCCTCTAATAAGACACGTACCTCAACCAGTTGCAAGGAAAAGAAAATTACCTATAGAAGATTTCAAGACGAAATGAGCAACAATAGTGAAAGCTTCTTTCACGCACAGTGGGCACTCTAGGGTTTTTTTTTTATTCCATTAGTAAAATTCTTCAGTCTATTTCAGTGACTATCAAAATTTACCTGGCTGACTTTTTATTAGAAGCAATTTTCCTCATGGATAATTCTTAAAAAAAAAAAAAAATACAATGGGTACAAGCAGGAAGAGCAGTTCAGTTGAATTATTTTTAAGGTGATTTTTTTCATGGTCCAGTTGGCTTTTGCAATCAAAACAGCATTAGAAATGCAAACCCTGAAAGTCTGCTTGGATCATACTCATTGAAACGAGGCAAAGAACTTCTCAATACATGAAAAGTCAACTGTTTAAGAGCTTAAGCCACTGACTAAAAATAAGACTCCTTCAGATCAGTTCAAGAGTATAAAAAGAATTCAATTTTAATACAGTGCCTTTAATATCTTTTAGCTACATGAGAGCATGATCCAGGATATAAAAATTCTAAATCTAACAGCAAGGTGCACACTGATGTATTGGATATCGCACCATAGCAAAAGAGATTTTATTCTTTTACTAGAAAATTATAAAATTATTAAGTTGAAGTAGTCTAGAACCTAAAACCCAAACCATTACAATCTATATATTTTGCAAATATAGAAACCTGCCTCCATTTCTCTGTCAAAACAAAGATAAGCTTTAGCTGTGAATAACTAAGAACTGAGCAAGTTCAAAACTCAAGGTCGATTTTTAGAAAGTAAAAGGGGGAGACTCATGCTTGCGAAGTACACCGTGCAAACATATCAGCACCTTGAACTCTAGCAGGGCTCGACGTACAGATAGAATATTCATAGATACACGTTTGTACATACAGGTGTGTTTATTTCCTACCACTCAAATGTATAACCACCTACATACTTCTCTTCATAGGGAATATGAGGCAGAGAAACTACTGTACAGACACACCAGAATGTCTTGGAGATATTAAAAAAAAAACAACAAACATCAGAGGCTATCTGTGGCATTGGAGTATAAAGACAAAGTTTACCCAGAACCAGAGAGAAAGCAACAAAAAAAGAGAGACATATATCTTAAGTGTAGCTATTTCCTTCTATAATGCTGTAAGCTCATATAGTGAAAGGGACTGAAACTAATAAAAGTATTTACATATGCATGCAGGCATGCTTTTTTGTGGCAACGAATAGTACTCAAGGAAATTTAAAGCCAGCATTTTTACTTGTACTGAACAAACATCAGTGTGCAGCAGTCTGTTAGTGAAACTAATAAACACCATTACATGGTAAAAAATGTTTGTGATTACAAAACCATTTTTCACAACATGCAAGACAGTACAACAGCTGAACGCGTACAGATGTGATATGTACATGGACACTCTCAGAAGAGGTGTACTGCCAGCTATGGGCATAGCATGCATGTTTCTAAAGGTCACCTGGCATATTGTCTCACAGCCATTTTGGATCACAATACTACCAGAAGCCTTGCATAGCAATCATCCAAAATACTGGAGCATTGCATGCACCTGCAAGGTTTTGAGCCACTGCTTGCTCCCTTCTCCAGAGTTTCACCCGTACTCCATACATCTTCTACTTCAACTATAATATCAATCTTCTTACTATCTAGAAAGCATCTACCACGTTTTCTTGGCTTAGTTTAATACAATTATAGACTGACCGTTACTACAAAGTAAGCTGTACTTTCTTCTGCAACGTGAGACCAAAGCACAAGATAAACAAGAAAGGACTTGCTGAAAGTAAACTGAAACAAAAAGCTTCCTGCTAAGTAAATACATTTTCCAATTTTGAAATATTGTCGCAGGAAGGAACAAAGCAAATCTATTCTTAATTATTGTCACAGTAGAATTAAGGTGTTTTATTAATAAATTGCTGAAAAAATGCAAGCACTATCTTTCTGTGGTTATGTGAGTTCTCATTCATAGAATAACATCTTCCTTCTAAGATACAATCACCTCTCATATTTTATGATTTAAATCAAAATCATGCAAAACAACTTCAAAGGAATCCTTCTTATCCCTCTATGCTTAACAGACTTGTCCATTTGCTTGGTTTTTCTTTCCTATGTCAAGTGCTGGTTACTGCCCGAGGATAAACATGGCACCAGACAATCCAAGATCTTGTTTGTTATGGTACATACTATATTTTTCAAAGCATTTAACAGAAGAATCATAAAGAAATGTAACACATTATACTACACTAAAAGGTTGACAATAAAAAGTACGACCATAATACACTATTTCAAACAAAAACCTGGGATATGCTCTCTGCATCATGAAAAACTATGCCAGTTATTCTGGAAATTCAAGGACTCTGGCCATACAGGCATGCAGGAAGGAAAAAGGCTAAGTAACAGAGATAAATGCTTGCAAGTAAACTCATTCAATGCTTCCACATGTGCTGAAAGTTTAATTTGTTGTGTTTTGGTTAGAAATTTTCAAGGAGTAAACCTCAGTATTGGCCAGCCAAGCCAATATCAGAGATAAGAGGTCTGTCAGCCAAAGTATCCAAAACTATGCTTCAACATCAAGGTCAGAAAAGCTTTGTTATTTCCAAGCAAAAACAGTGTCTGCTGCATGTCTGTTTTGACTTGTGATGTAGCTTGTCCTGGCAAGCAGTTCAGGCAGTCACTCTCATAAAATAAAGCTACCTCAAGGGCTAATTTGCTCATTTACAAGAACTACAAAAGGGTTCAGAGGCA